CTGAACACAATACTCAAGATGCAGGCTCACCAGTCCTGAGTACTGGGGGATGATGACCTCTCTGCTCCTGCTGGACACACTATTTCTAATGCAGGCCAAAATGCCGTTGGCCCTCTTGGCCATGTTCACTGTAGGCTCATGTTCAGCCAAGCATCAACCAACACCCCCAGGTCCCTTTCCTCTTCACAGTCATCCAGCCATTCTACCCCAAGCCTATAGCGCTGCATGGGGTTACTGTGGCCAAAGTGTAAGATCCAGCACTTGGCCTTGTTGAATCTCATCCCATTGACCTCAGCCCAGCAATCCAGCTTATCTAGATCCCTCTGAAGGACCTCCCTACCCTCAGGCAGATTGACACTACCTCCCTACTTGGTGCTATCTGCAAACTTACTGAGACTACACTCAATCCCCTCATCTAGGTCATCAATAAAGATATTGAACAAGATGGGACCCAGTACTGACCCCTGGGGGAGACCACTTGAAACAGGTCACCAGCTGGACTTAACTCCATTAACCACTACTCACTGGGCATGACCCTCTAGCCAGTTCCTTGCCCAAAGAGGGGTATACTTGTCCAGGCCCACAGCAGCCAGTATCCCCAGGAGAGTACTGTGGGAGACTGTGTCAAAGGCTTTGCTGAAGTCTAGGTAGACAACATCTTCAGCCTTTCCTTTGTCTTACAGGCTGATCATCCAGTTGTAGAAGGAATTGAGATTGGTCAAGCACGACCCGCCTTTCATGAACCCATGCTGGCTGGGCCTGATCCCCTGGATGCCACACACACTTTGTGTGATCTCACCCAAAATGATTTGCTCCATAACTTCCCCTGGTACTGAGGTTAGGCTGACAGGCCTGTAGTTCCCCGGATCCTCCTTATGGCCCTTCTTGTAGTCAATCCTCTGGGACCTCTCCAGATAATCAGGGGTGCTGGTAGATGGTGGAGAGTGGCTCTGCAATCACCCCCACCAACTCCCTCAGCACCCTAGAGTGGAGACCCATCCATTCCCATGGACTTGTGACAGTCCAGATGGAGGAGGATCTCTCTAATGGTCTCCACCTGAATCACTGGGGGTGTATTCTGCATAGCATCCCAGATTCCAGATCAGGGCGTAAAATGCCCTGAGGATAACTGATCTACCTATTAAAGGCAGATGTAAAGAAGGCATTGAGGACCTCAGCCTTCTCAAGATCCTTCCCGCCCCTCCCCTGGCACAGCTCCATGCTGTTCCCTCGGGCCCTATCACTGTCACAAAAAGCAAAGCTCAGCGCTACCCCTCCACTCCATGTGAGGAGCTGCAGCCACCATCAGGCTCCTCTCAGCTCCTCCGCTCTGGGCTGAACAAAACAGGGGACTTCAGCTGCTCCCAAAATACATCTTTCCTTTCAGACTTTTACCATTTTTGTAGCACTCCTTTGGATTCTCTCTAAAAGTCTTGGTCCTTATATTGTGGCATCCATATGTGCACTCGATGCTCAAGGTAAGACTGTACCAGTGCAGCGTAGAGTGGGACTATCTTTTCTCTCAGCTGGCTTGTAATGACACACATGCCTGATGCACCCTAGCATGCAGCTGACATACCGACCGGCAGGGCACACTGTTGAATCATGTTCAAGTTGCTGTCAACATAAACCCCAGATCCTTTTCAGTGTGGCTGCTCCCCAGTCTGTACATAGCACCAGGATTGCCACATCCCAGGTACAGAATCTGGCACTTGTTCTTGTTAAATTTCAGACAGTTGATGATTTCCCAGCTCTCTAATTTGTCTAGATCTCTCTACAAAGCCTCTCCACCCTCAACAGAGTCAACAGCTTCTCATTCATTATTATCAGCAAACTTGCTTAGAACACCTTCTAGTCATAGAACCACAGAATCATAGAATAATTTGGGTGAGAAGCGACATTCAAGATCATCTAGTTCCAACTCCTCTTGCTACAGACAAAGACACCTACCTCTACACCAGGTCGCTCAAAGTTTCATCCAGCCTGGCCTTCAATGCTTCCAGGGAGGGGGCATTCACAACTACTCTGGGCAACCCGTTTCAGTGTCTCACCACCCTCACAGTAAAGAATTTCTTCCTAATAAGAAGGAATGTTCTAAATCTACCCTCTTCCAGTTTAAAACCATTTTTCTTGTCCTATCACTACACACCCATATAAAAAGTCCCTCCCCAGCTTTCCTGTATGCCCCATTCAGATACTAGAAGACCACTGTTCTCTTCTGCTCTCTAGCCTGAAGAGCCTGTGCAGTCCAGCCTCTCCATGATTTACAGTGCCACTCCTGCTCCTCTTCTGTCCTGCCTGTCTCTTCCAAAAAGCCTGACTCCTCCCACCAGATTTCACATACTTCAATGACATCATACATCCGGGGACTGAGACAAGGCTTCTAGCTATTCTTGCTTGTTCCACATGCTGCGTGCATGGGTGTTGAAGCACTTCAGATGTGCTTCATTGTACCCAGCAACTTGTGGAGCAGACTGAAGTATCTCACTAGCATACTGTCCCTCTCATTCTGGTGAGCTGTCCCATAGTTTGTAACTACTTGACCAGGTTTTATCCCTGTCTCTTTTCAAATCTACTTTTAAGCCCTCTTGATCAGTCCTGCTAACTCCAATGCAAAAGTCCTTTTCCTTTTCTGAGAAAGGTGCACCTAGTGGGCACCAGCAGGCCTGATGTCATGTAGACCTTCCCATGACCAAGAAACCCATGAGTTGTTCCATCAAATTCATCTCTGTCCAGCTAAGGAATAAGGATATTTTGTGGGACCTAGTCAAAGGCTTTGCAGAAGACCAAGTAAATTACATCAGTTATTCTTCCTTTCTCCATTGTAGATGGCTACCAGATTGGTCAGGTATTGATCTGCCATTGGTGAAGCCATGCTGCCTGTCTTAGAATAACTCCTTGTCTTGCATATGCCTTGACATAGCTTCCATGAGGATCTGTTTCTGTGATCTTCCCAGGGACAGAAGTGATGCTCACTAGCCTGTTGTTTCCTGGGCCTTCCTTTCTACCCTCTCTAAAAATGTTTCTCTTTTTCTACTCATCAGGGTCTTCACCTGACAGCCATGACTTTTCTAAAAGACCTGGACACAGCTAACCCCTATTGGTCTTTCCTTCCATTTCTAAGCAATGGGGAAAAAAAAGCAGGAGGAGATGGAAACAATGGTGCAACAAGAAAGCTATGACCTAAAATGCTATCAAAAAAACAAAGTGCAATTATAATCATAAACTGAACATTACAACTGTGAGCTACTACAACCTTTTTAGAAGGGACAGCAAGGGCAAAAGGGGTGAGGGAGTGTTAAGAAGTAGATAGATTGTGGAGAGCTGCCTCTGAGAAAGAGCCACAAGCAGGCGAAGAACCTGTAGGTAAAAAGTAGAGAAATAAATCCCTTCCTGGTGGTGGCGGCGGCGTCCACATGGCCGAGGGAAGAACCCTGCCGCCCCGCTGAGTGGGAATGCGCCTCCAGATGATGGCCGAGCCCCCCTCAGCAGCATGTCGGCGTCCCTTGGGGCACGACCCCGGTCCTGTCGCATCCATGCTGCTGGCCTTGCTGCTGCGTCTTGCATACATGGTGGAGAGACAGCAGCCCGGGGCCCTTTCTCACATTTTATTTATTAGAAAGGGAGCAAGGAGGACCCGGGGAACTACAGGCTGGTGTGTCTCTCCTCTGTGCCTGGGAAGATCATGGAACAGATCATCCTGGATGACATGCTTGATCACGTGAGGAAAGGACGTGTGATCCGTGACAGCCAGCACGACTTCACCAGAGGAAGGTCGTGCTTTACCAATCTGGTGGACTTCTGTGATGGAGTGACGGCATCAGTGGACAAGGGAAAGGTGACCAATGTCATTTACCTGGACTTGAGCAAGGCCTTTGACATGGTCCCCCCACCACATCCTTATCTCCAAACTGGAGGGATGTGGATTTGATCGGTGGACCACTCGATGGATAAGAAACTGGTTGAAAGGCCACAGACAGAGGGTGGTCATCAATGGCTCCATGTCCAGGTGGAGGCCGGTAACAAGTGGTGTCCCCCAGGAGTCTGTCTTGGGACCGGTGCTCTTTAACATCTTTATCAATGACATCGATGATGGAATTGAGTGCACCCTCAGCAATTTGCTGATGACACCAAGCTGAGTGGTGCGGTCGACACGGTTAAAGGAAGGGATGCCATTCAGAGGGACCTCGAGAGACTAGAAAGGTGGGCCCGGGTGAACCTGATGAGGTTCAACACGGCAAAGTGCAGAGTTTTGCACTTGGGCCATAGGAATCCCAGGCATCCCTACAGACTGGAAGGAGCGGTCCTTGAGAGAAACCCTCTGGAGAAGGACCTGGGGGTCTTGATAGATGAAAAACATAATGTGAGCCAGCAGTGTGCTCTTGCAACTCAGAAAGCAAATAGTATCCTGGGCTTCATCAGAAGAGGAATGGCCAGCAGGGACAGGGAGGTGATTGTTCCCCTCTACTCTGCACTTGTGAGGCCCCATCTGCAGTACTGTGTCCAGGTCTGGCGCCCCCAGTACGAGAAGGACAGGGAGCTGTTGGAGACGGTCCAGAGGAGACCCACAAAGATGATCAGGGGACTGGAGCACCTTCCCTATGAAGACAGGCTGAGGGAGCTGGGCTTGTTCCTACTGGAGAGGAGAAGGCTGTGAGGTGACCTCATTGCAGCCTTTCACTACCTAAAGGGAGCCTATAAAGAGGAGGGGAGTCAACTCTTTGAAAGGGTAAATAACAGGGGGGAAATGGTTTGAAGTTGAAGGAGGGAAGATTTAGGTTGGATGTCAGGGGGAAGTTCTTTACAGAGAGAGTGGTGAGGTGCTGGAACAGGCTGCCCAGAGAGGTTGTGGATGCTTCATCCCTGGAGGTGTTCCAAGGCCAGGTTGTATGGGGCCCTGAGCAGCCTGGTCTAGCATTAGGTGGGATGGGTGGTGGCCCTGCATGTGGCAGGGAGGGGTTGGAGATTCATGATCCTTGAGGTCCCTTCCAACCTGGGCCATTCTGTGATTCTGTGATTCTGTCATTTTAAGGTGTGCAGCCTGAATTCATAGCTATTGTAGTTATGTTGGTAGTGTTATACTAGAGGTTAATTTGTCTCCATGTTTTTAAGACCTGAATTCATAAAATGTTAGTGAAATAAAGGGAAGCTTAACTCAGCAAAGTAGTAGTGTCTCAACTTAACACATTGCAAAGATGAGTCTGGTGCTGGTGCACTGAACATGATTTGAACTATCTGCTTGTTTTAGATATTCAGTACAAATATGCCTAAAAAAATGCAGGCAATAAACAAGTCATTGTCCCCAGAACTCTGACAAAACAAACAGAACAAACTGGAGACAGGATTTTGGTAACAAAATGTACTGAACACTGTAGACTACAGCGAAGTAGGAGAAAAATTTTATTGATGGTTGATCATATCTAGTGCTGCTGACTTGTTGATTGCAGTCTGCACTGAACATACATAAACAAATTGAAAACAGAACTGTGTCTTAAGTTCAAACCCTGTGCAGACTGGAATCTTCCACAAAAACAGCAAATATGCTTTTGAAAACACCAAATGTGTTTGTGAACCATGCTGAGGCTGCCCTCCAGCTCTGGCCTGCGTGCAAGCAGCATCTGGGCAGGATGAGCAGGACATACTCTCTGGAGCCCAAAGTACTCAAACATGTCTGTGTCAGTGTCTCACAGGGTGTGCCTGGCATTCTGCCTAGGGCCAGATTGTAGAAGCATGTGGTAAAATGCATCATGCCTACTGGAGCTCAAGGGGCTGATTTTTCACAGCAGTAGCGGGATGTAGCATGCAGAGTACATTCTCAGAAAGCCGCTTCCCTTCATTAATGAACATGTGCATCAACATGCGCATCAACAGGACTAGAAAAACTATAATATGGAGTTTAACAATCCTGGGTTTTATCTGGTTTTCAGTGAGAATTTGACATGTGTTTTCTTAAAATTAGCTTCAATAAATCATCATGAATTTTGAAGTCAGAAATTCATTGAATACAGCTGCCAGTCAAGAAGTAGTTAAAACAGAGGAATTAAATAAGTAGCAAAGCAAACAAGCTGACCATAACTAACAAACCAAAGGGATTCTTGGGGGGGGGAATGGGGGAAGGGGGAGAGGGGAGAAAAAAAAAGAAAGAAAGAAAAAAAAAAGAAAGATGAATTTGGTATGAATACTTGTATGTTACTTATTTTATGTATGCATAATGTTTCATCTGCTTTGCCGTATAAGCGAAAGAGCCCAGTGCCACATAGATATTGCCATTGTTTTCACCTCTGTAGTTTATAGATTGTATAGGCAAGGAGACATTATAACTACTAAGTGTAGTTTTGACAGTCTCCCTTCCCTTTAGAAGTAATCCATCATTTTGTCATACTTGCTTCTTGGTGAATATTACTCACTGAGTAATGTGATCCAAGACATAGAACCACTTTCCCATTATATTTTCTCCTCTCGGGTTCGTAAGAAAAGATCTTTACAGAAAAGTTTGTGCCTATAAGCAAAGGAAATACTCATCTACATTCAGGTAGCTTTTCATCCAGTTTGGAGTTCTAGCTCAAGCTTAGGCCAATATTAAATGTAGACACAAAACTTTTTAAAATTAAATTCTGCCTACATTCTTAAACATATTAGTCTGTGAGAATCCTTCTTTGTTTTTTTGACTCGAAGCTTGCTTCCTGAGGTATTTCTTGTGGTAGGACTCTGATTGATTTATTGAGGAGGCAAGTGGTGGGTGCTACCGCGTGACCATTGACATCACTTTGTGGACATTTGAAAACCCCTTCCTCCAGTGCTGCTTGCCTCCAGAAGAGAGTACTTAGGAGTGTTTACTGGCAGAAGATCTGTCCTGTGACTAAATAGCTCCAGCTTGGTATGGGAAAGCTGGGGAATTATACCTTCGTGTCCTGTGAAAAACAGGATGCAGCTGGACATCCCTGCTCCCTCTTATCTGCTGGCAAGGCCTGGAAGATGGGAACAAAGGAGTTTCTGCTGAGATCCCAGAGTCAGAAGCTGCCACTACAAGGAGAGCCAACTCAACCACTTTGGATTTGAGCTGTTACTCCAAAAACAGCTGACTTGACCACTTTGGAACCATTGAAAAGTGGCCATCATCACCATGGTCACTGTCATCGTCAACAGAACAGCAATGCCGACGACTGAAGATCAGTGGCTGAACTATGAACCATGCTGGATCCATGGTGGTGACTATCTCCCTCGTGCTTCCTATAAAGCAGCAGGGCTTTATGCTAAAATCTCTCTGCATGCTCAGACACAATTATGCCTTCTTATATTGCTCTCCTCAGAAGCACTTCAGTTATGTAGCAGTATTTGCTGTCTTGTTTTTATTTTGCTGAACATCCTCTCTATTCAACTTTGAAACAAAGTTACACTATATGTGTGTTTTGTGTCAAAGTTGGCTTCAAAATAGGTACAGTCTTTCTCTGTTACGTTTAAAAGAAAATATTAGTGGTTAGTATTGTAAGACTAACTTCTTCCATCTCTCTTGAAAAAATGATGCTAGGATTGATGATGATGTAGTATCAGCCTATAAGCTCAAGTCAGTGAAAGAGAAAAGGATCTATATACCTTTAGTTCCTTTATTAGAAAAATGGCATATTGTTACATTTCTATTTTAAGCATAATAAATTTGTAACCAGGTGGATATTGGCTGTTACCGTAATTAATGGTCTCATTTAAAATGAGTTATTTTATTATAGATATTTAGGGCAGTAGGCCTAATATGAAATTGTTATCAGAGGTGTTTGTTTAAGAAGTGATTTATGAAATTTGACCTCTGATGCTCTGCTGCACAAAATGGTATGCACTGAAAATCCTTTATAATTTCTATTGTTCTATTGCTGGAGAGGAGCTATGCCTCCTCTCCATCTGTGTTACAGCATTAGGTTTACATGTCAAGCTGATCCACGTCAGAGCAGAGCCAGCTCCAGCTTCTCCAAAAGGGACCCATTGCCACCAGAGCTAAGCCATGGATAATACTGGGTGTGCTCTGGGAGAGCAGATTTTTGAGAGGGAAAACTCCTGCACAACAGCAACTGTGAGATATGGGTGAGAAGCGGCCCTGCAGGCACCCAGGTCAGTGCAGAAGGAGGGCAGGAGGAGCTCCAGGCACAGAGCAGAATCTCCCTGTAGCCCAGGAGAGGTTCCTGGAGGAGCAGGCTGTCCCCCTTCAGCTCATGGGCACATCTCCCCATGCAGCCACAGAGGAGTCCACCAATAGTGCATTAGGGGGTGAGGCCAGAAGGACGCACCAGCAGGAGCAGTCCAGGTCAGAGCTGCACCCCTTGGGGAGCAGCCTGTGGTGAGGCAAGGGGGCTGGGGGAGATGCCACCCATGGGGACACGTGTGGAGCAGTGCCTGAAGGGTGGGCCCTGTGCTACAGAGCCATGTTGGAGTGGTGGTGGGAGAGCTGCAGCCTGTGAGAAGCCCATGCAGAATCAGTTTGGGGGGGCTGGCATCCTGTGGGAAGGACCCACGTGGAGCAGAGGCAGAGAGTGACCATGGAGTAGCGACAGAAACAAAGCACTATGGGCTGACCACAGCCCCTGTTCCCTATTCCCCTGCACTACTCACTCCAAGAAAAGATAGAAGAACTGAGACTGAAATTGAAGCTAAGCTTGGGAAGAATAGGGTGTGGAGAAGAGATCTTTAGTTTGATTTCAGTTCTCACTGACTTACTCTCTTATTAATTGGCAACAAACTAAACTCATCCCCATGTTGAGCCTGTTTTGCTCATGATGTTACCATCATTAGTGAATGATCTATTTGTTCTTATCTCAAACCACAAGTGTTTTCACAGTATTTTCTCTCCCTGTCTTTTAGAGGAGTCCACATGGGAAGGTGGCATGCAGGGTACCTGGTGACCTCCAAGTTAAACCCATCATGATTACTCCTTGTACAAGGTACTGATACATTTCTTTTTCATCTGCCCTTATTCTCTGTAATTTTTACTTATTTATATTTATTTTTAAAAATACTAAGGGGGAAAGTCTATCAGTTAAATCAATGGCCTGTCAGTCTGCACATAGATAAATATTTATTTCCATCCACCTGCTTCTAGTCTCTCCTGAAATAATGTTTGACATTCTTTACGAGTTTTCACTAAAACTGAAAGAAGGGGTGAAAATCTCAGATGCCAAATTCCACAAAGTTTAATGAAAATAGGCATCGGAGTGTGAGGTAGATATCCTATTAGTATTCAGTTGAATAGGAAGCCTGTATCTTGAACTCAGTCTGTAGTAGATAATGGAGAGACTTATAAAAAGATAGATCAAGGAGAAATTTTAATCAAAGTATGTGTCTGGTAGACTCTTAAAAATGCAACTAATCATGCACCTCTCTAACTGATTCATGGAAACAATGTTTTTATTCATTGCCATACTTTTACATGTTACTATTTTTTTTTTCTGTGCTCTCATTCACTGCCAAAACATCATCACAAGTGGTTTGAGGCCAAGAATTGCGGGAGACTTCAGAGGCAGGGTAATATCATCTGGTGACATTCAAGATTATTGGCTTTTGTGTAAACAAGAAGGTGACAAGCCTTTGCAATCTTTGTCCTTGAAGTTGCTCACTCAACCACTTACATGTAATAGCATCGAATGATTTAGTTCACCTTATACACGCACAGAAACTGTATCTGCCTGCCAAAACTAAATTGCTGTTCTGACTCAAGACCTGGGAACCACAAGAGTTCCAGAAACAATCCTTATGTGTTTCTTGTTCATCTCTTTTTTTCTGAATCATCTGGCTTCAGTTAAGTTTCATTTCATTTAGGTTCCAAAACATTAATTTATCTTGATTTTATTTTTTCTCAATAAAATACAACAACAGTATGTATGTAGAAAGTAAAATTCCACTTTTCTATTGAGTATACTGAAGAATTAGCATTGACCTCAGCTTGTACATCTGCACTGACTGGAGGCATAAAAGAAGGTATTATCATAGAAAGCAGTGGAGTTGTATTAACATGAAGCCACATTTGAACTAACTCAGGCCATGACAAGATTCAGTGCTACAGTGACACAGCTTCTGTTTCAAGAGCTAAAAACACTCAGTTCCTAACAAACAGATTTTTACAGTCTGAAGGGTATATATAGTAAAACACATGCCAACCAATCAACAAAAAAAAATGTTCAGAGTTTCTCTACACAGAAAGAAAAGTTGTAATAATTACGTAATTATTATTATTATTTTTTTATCTTAGGTAAGTCACTCTGAACCATAAATATATTCTATGAACCTGTAGCAAGCAGGCTTCTTTCTCCAATTAATATGTTGAACTGTTTATCAACATCTCCTATTTTGATTTATGGAGAAAATTCTGTGTTCAACCACATTTTGTTTGTTATACTGTCCCCAAGATCTGGGAATAAAACTCACTAACCTGAATGACAGGTTAGAAAGCTGACATAGCAACCCTAGGTGCACAGATCACTCTTCCTAGTATGCATACATGTAATTGAAAGCACACAGATTTTACACATTCATTGTGTGAATATTCATACAATTATTGTAATGTGCCCACCTATTCTGAGAACTGATATATGTATTAAAATCAAATACTAAGCATGTGATGTATTAATATGGGGTTTTGTAAGAGGTCTTTGGTGGTCATGAGGTTCCACAGAGTGGTGCTCTGGCCCAAAGATCACATGCTACCTGTAGTTCAGGTCCCATATTCGGTCAATAAATGTATTTCTCTCAATCTTTCCTTGTAGGGTAAGTGCTCCAGTGCTTTTGATAATTTCTGTGGCCCTCCAATAGACCTTTTCTAGGAAGTCTATGCATTTCTTGTACTGGGGACCTTAGAACTGGATAGAGGTGGGGTGGAATCTCCTCCCTTGACCTGCTGGCTATACTTCTTTTTATAAAGCCTAGGATACACTTGACTTTTTGGGCTGCAAGCATACATTGCTGGGTTATGTTCAGTTTTTCATCTGCTAGTACCCTTGAGTCCTTCTTGTCAGGGCTGATCTCAATCAACTCATCTCCTAGCCTGTATTCATGCATGCAGTTCCCTTTATCCACATGCAGGACCACACACTTGTCTTGCTGAACTTCATGAAGTTCATATTCTCCCACATCTCGAGCCTGTCCTTCCTTCTCAATGGCATCCCTTCCCTCCAGAGTGTTAAACAATCACACAGCTTGGTGTTATTAGCAAACATTCTGAGGGTGCATTCAATTCAGACAACGTGAAAATGGCTGGGATAACTTCTTATGAAGGTGAAAAGTAGACTGAAATATGAAAGATTTCAGGTGGGTTGGTCATGTACTTATATCTCTGTTGCAATTAGAATTCAGTGGAACTGTTAGAAAAAACTGTAATTAAACTAAATAATCATTTGCTGCAAAACAGTTTCACTGAAAAATTTGACCAAAATTATACTTGAGTTGCAGAAATTTTCTGGAGGACTGAACATGCTTAACTATTGCAGCCATCAGCAGGCTGCAGAAAGAAGATGTTAACAAGGTTACATCATAGTATTAATTTACAAAAAAAAATTAAAAAAAAATAAGGCATTTATCTTAAAAAGTATAACCACTTTTTAAAATCAGAGTAGCGTTTTAATAATAAAGATAGGGATTCAAACATAAACTTCTATGAAAACAGTGGAAATTTACAGTATCTTTTTTTACACAAGAGAACTACAGGATATACCTGCTCTGCCATGTATACAAACCCAAATTGTGGAACCACCTGCAAGATCCAGAACTAGCAAATGGTATTTAGGACAGTATTTTAGGACATTCTTGGAAAAAGTGGCAAGCTTGTTCTCATTTATATTCATTGTAAATTCAGCAAAACAAAGTTCTTCAAATAAGAAAAGTGTTTCAAGGTGGTTGAGTATTATAAAAGAAATATAATTATTATAAAGAATAAGTAAGAGGCTTTTCAAAAACATAGCATTAATATGACATCTAAATGAAACTAGTTTCGCTTTTATATAAAATACCTCAGTTTTGCTTATCAAGTTCTGGAGCAGAAAAAACAATCATAGAAAAAAACTCATAATAATGTTATTTTTATTTGAAAATAATGTTCCATTGAATTTTCAACCAGCTCTGCTTGATGACAACCCACAGTAGAGGATGCATGAGAGTAATGTTTCCAGCTCAGTGGAGTCCAGTGTTTGAGGTGAGATAGATCCAAATGAAGTAGTGTGAGAAGTGTAATACACTGACTCTAAACATGAGGCTTTTGATTAGAATTTAACTGGCAACTTCTTCATTAAACCACATCTCTGTTGGTACTAAAAGCACTTAGCTGTATATGTTCATGTTTCAAATAATACTTGCTTAAAATAACACTTATTTAAACCCACATTGCACCTCCGTTCTTTTTAATTTTGTTAATGTGAAGACTGATAAACAAAGATAGTATTTATGTGAAGACTGCTGAAATCAAGGATGATCTCTTCTTTGATACCACCAGATACTGGTTTCAATCCTTGTGTGGATCTAAAACTTCTGCCTGAATACCTAAGTAGTTGCAGCAATCTAAACAGCTAAACTCCTGATCTATGTTACAATAGAAAAAGAAGTATGCACTTTTAAGTTGATAGATAATAGTTTATATTACTGCTCCCTAATAATAATAATAATTTAAAAAAAAAAAAAAAAAAGTTTACTTATTGGTTATTGCTAGATACAGATTTTGCTAAGGTGCACAGATATCATCCACATCTTAGTAATGTGTAATATATATGTGTGAAGCCATGTTACAGAATTAACTGGTGACTGCATAAGTCACTGTACATTTTTCAGACAGACCTAAATACCTGTAAACTACAGGTTTATTTTATTGTGTTCTCTTGGTGAAGTTATGTCAGGGTCTGAGGACTCAGTCAGCTCTGCCTCACCCTCTCAGGATCCTGGATTTAATCAGGCCAGGCCCTACTTCATACCAGGACCACCAGCTCCTGCTCTAGCGAGGCTGCAGCTGGGCTGGGCTCCATCCAGCTCCACACTGTTCTGCCTGGCCATGGGGCCTGCCAAGCTGGGCTCACCCACTGGACCATGTCCTAACTGGGCCTTTGTGTGTGCAGCTCTGGTGCCACTAGCCACTCTGGTGCTGGCAAGGGTGATGAAATAGGCCCTGGCTACCAGGCCATCCCTTTCTCCCCTAAAGAGCACCAGCTCTTCCTTCCACAGGCCTCCCAGCTGTACCTCAGTTTGCCTGCAAAGATGTGTTGAGCTTCAAAGGCACTCAGACTCAACTCCAGAAGAATCAAGTTGAGGTCTAGGCCAAGGGATGATGAACAGTTCAGTTAGCCAGTTCTTACATCATGAGTGTTCATTCATTTTTTTCTGCACCGTAAACGTCTATGAAAAAAACTGGTATTTCTGATGTGATATTATCATGTATTTTATATCACTATGTGTATATAGGTGAAAACAATGATAAAGCATTGCTGGCATCTGTGGAATGGACAGAGCCATTGTGACACAGGAGCAGTTGTCTTCTGGGATGTTCTGCATGTGTGTGCAGACAACATATATAGGATAACATCTGTAAAATATTTGGCAAACCATGTGTCTACAAAATAGTTATATAGAACTTCTACAGAGAGTAGCAGTTTCAACAAATAAACAAAATGTTTGGACCATTAAATGGTTATCCTTAATTCATTGTTTTAAAACTGAATTGTCTTCTGAAATATTTGTAATATGTTCCTAGCACATTACTTTTACTGCTGTCTTGTAATTCAGTGTCTTTTCTTCATTTGGTAATGTACATCAAACAAAAAGAAATCAGAAACTGTAAAGGCTTTGACATCTCTGATCCAAGTGCACCAGATTTGTCACTATTGCACAGCACTTCCTGCTATATATTCATTTTTTCTGTCATCATTCTATGCTTCTCTGACTAATAAATAAATTGTTAATTCTTAAAAGTTCTGAGTTTATAAATGTGGCCTGAAATACTGCCACAGATTAATAAAAACATTATTAATAATAATAATTATTATTATTATTAAAAAAAATACACAAGAAATCATAAAGCTGCTTGTCCTCCTTTTCCTATTGTCATTTGTTGACTGAGACTAGGGCAGAATTTTGCAGTCCAGGGCCTAATTACCAAGTACATTCTTCCAGTTAAAAGGAAGAGGATAGTTGCAATATTCCCTTCTTTCATTCCCCTGGAGGAGTATGAAAATGTACTGGACAGAATCTTGTTTGGATGTCTTGGTGCTCTGGTCATCCAGTAAGGCCCATGCTAGCAACAGAAACTGGAAAATTACAGAAGATGAGAGAATGTGAAAGTGATTGTACTTAAAAAGTAGTTTTAGCTAATAAAACACTACTCTTTGCCTTGCAATGATTTACTTGAAGTACAACATAATAACAAAGGAACTACTGCCCTAAGTCATTATACTTTAACTGTGTAAAAAGAGGAGTTTGACAATTCTGCATTCACAAGCTACTCTCAGTGTTTTGTAGAAGAAAGGGATGTCTTCGAAGACTGCAGCATTTGAAAGTATTAAAGCAAAACATGCCCTTAATAACAATAGTTGTTTTTCACATACACGAAAATAGGGTAGGAGAAGACCTAGCTGGCCTTATTAATCACAGGATAACAAAGTGAGAGATGTAATGCTACTGGGAAATAAGCAAATGCTGTTCCAGACTGCTTCAAAATAGCTATTTCCAGGAAGGATAAAAGACAACATCACCCTTGTACATAATGTTGATGCAGCAGTTCTTTGTAAGGGAAAAAAAAAAAAAAAAGACTGATTAAAACTTAATTAGGCATCAGAAAGAGTACCAAAGACACTAAAGAAGATGAAGAAGCTATTCTGTACGTGTGAGATGAGAAGTTTTTTTAATATGGCAACAATAATTCTGTAAAGAGAATGACTTTTTTTTTTTTCGAAGTGCAAAGGATGCAGAAAGATGGGGAGTGATAAACGCAAAGTATAAGTTTGAAAAAGTGGTGGTTTTTTAAGAAATGGGGCACTTAGGCCTGCTTGATGACAAATTGTTGGAGCAGAAAAGCAAACCACCTCCTTTTCATGTAAAATGAGATGTGTGGAATCAGATGTGCCAAAAAGAGCCAGAATGTTCCCACTTGTTCACCACTGCACCAAACAAAATAATGCACAAACACAGTGGTGCTGAAAACACCGTGTTTTGTTGTAGTATGTCTAGCCTTGGTGTTTATGGGCTGGCCAAAGTCAAACAAGGCTGCAGCACTAACAAAGCAGGGATTGGGTCTGCCTCGTGACAGCTTCAAGCAATGGGAGAACAGAAATTTTAAGGCCAGGTTAGTTTTAATGTTCTTGTAATTGACTTGAATGTAGGACTTGAGGGCGCACTAAGCAAGCTTATGGATAACACTAACTTGGGATGAGCTGCTGGCTTCCTTATGACAACTTTCTGAGAGATCTTGACAAATTGGAGGGCTGGGCAGTTGGCAAATGCATTCATAGAATCATAGAACTCACAGGATCATCTAGTCCGACTGTCCACTGATCACCAATAGCTCTCACTAAACCATGTCCCCCTACACAACATCTTAACATTCCTTGAACACCGTCAGGGTCGGTGACTCCACCACCTCCCTGGGCAGACCATTCCATTTCCTGACCACTCTTTCAGAAAAGTAGTGTTTCCTAATGTCCAGCCTGAATCTCCCTTAGTGCAACTTGAGGCCACTCCCTCTAGTCCTGTTACCATTTACACAGGAAAAGAGGCCGACTGCCAGCTCATTACAACCTCCCTTCAGGTAGTTACAGAGAGTGATGAGATCTCCTGGAGCCTCCTCTTCACCAGTCTGAAAAATCCCTCATAAGCCTGTGCTCCAGACCCCTCATCAGCTTTGTTGCCCTTCTCTGGACATGCTCCAGGGCCTTGATGTCTTTCGCGCTGTGCAGTGCAAGAAGTGGGTGCTGGTTTGTGAGCCACAGCGTAAGAAACACATAAAGCTATTAGAGAGTGTCCGAAGACAGGCTATGAAGTTGAGGAAGGGTCTGGATGGCAACATCTGTGAGGAGCAGCTGAGATCTCTGGGTTTGCTCAGCCCAGAGCAGAGGAGACTGAGGGGAGGCTGTCATGCAGCTCCTCATAGGGAGCGGAGGGGTGGCAAGAGTACCCAAGGAAACGTAAAGGAGCTGTGTCACGGGAGGGTCAGATGGAGGTGGTTAGGGAAAGGCATGGAATCCAGGGCAGAGCTGGGGTTCTGGAAACATTCAGGCAGTGCTTCCAAATGTAGAGTTTGAATATTATAGGATGGTGCTGTGTGGAGCCAGGGGTTGAACTCAGTGATCCTCGGGATCTCTTCCAGCTTGAGATATTCTGTGATTCTATAAAATTGCACGATCTCCTGAGTACCAGTTTGGTCAAGGTTTTCCCAGCACTTATTGGTGCCTAGGGCAGAGTGTAACCCTATGGAAGAGGGCAGACATTCACTTTCTCAAGGCCACCCACATGCTCACAGACCACCGCGATTTTTGATAGTGGGGCAGAGGCCGGCGGAAGAAGGGCAGAGAGCAGGACTCTCCCAGCAGGGCACAGAAAGGAGCAGCACTTCCACACCTTCCCCGCAGCTCCCGCTGGGGGTCGACCGGACCGGGGGCGGTGCTTCGGCGGGGCCGCGTCGCCCCTGCCCCCCGCGGGCACGCGCCCGGGTTCCGTAGGAGCACGCAGGGCCGGGGACGCGCGGTGGGCAGGCGTGCAGCGGGGCCGCGCCCCGGGGCTCCCCGCCCCCGCGCTGGCTTTGTGCTGCCGCCCGCACTTCTCAGGCTCGGCGGGACTGGGAATCCCTGGCGCTTGAGGCAGTCGTGCCTCCTCCTCCGGAGCTGGGCGCATGATGGCGGCAGCTGCCACAGCAGAGGTGAGCAGCGCCGGGAGCAGCAGCAGCGATACCTCCAGCACTGGCGAGGAGGAGAGGATGAGGCGCCTTTTCCAGACCTGCGACGGCGACGGAGACGGCTTCATCAGCAGGTAGCGGCGCAAAGCCGCCTCCGCGAAGTGCCGTCTCAACTTCTCGCAAGTTTGCCGCTCGGAGCGGAGTGGGAGGCGGCTGGGCACGCGTCCCTGCCGCCAGGCCGGACCCTCCGCCGGAGCGCAGACCGACCGCCCCCTCCTCCCTGCCGGCAGCTCGCCGCGGCCGCTGCCTCCCCGAGGGCGGTGGGCGAGCTCGAGGCGGGGCGGGCGCTCCCCGCCGCTCCTCCGCTGTCCCCAGGTGCTGTGGGCTCCTGAGCGGGGCTGCAGTTTACCGGCGTAAGCTCGCCCGTGCCTGGGAGCTGCCCCGCTCGGGGACTGCGGGAGCGACACATCAGCGGGTGCGGAGGTTGGGGCTGCGAAACTTGCGCGCCCCAGCCATCAGCGGGCAGGTGGTTTTCGCGGGTAAAGATAAAGCTGTGGATAGTCGTGGAGGAAGGTGTGACGATTCTGCTGAGCGCTCGGTGGAAACTGATGTCCTTTGAGGGTGCTCCCGCAGGTATGCCCACAGGTGTCAGTGTGAGAAGGTCGATAGTCACTGTAATGCGCTGTGCAGCTAGGGCCCTGGATGTAATGATATAAGGTATAAAATTTGTACGGCTTTTCCAGAATATCTCGTTTCCCTATGTTTTTACCAATATCCTTGCTTTGCAGCGTCATATAAGTTCCTGCCCTGGTCCCATGTTAGTTTCAGGACTGTTACCTGAGCTGTTAAATTTCTTTGGGCAGTGGTGAGTTGATGCAGTTGTAATAGGTGGCTGGGTATAAGCCATAGTGAAACGTTCAAATGGATGAGATTATTGGCAGCATGTCTTGATCAGTGCTGGGCACGTTGTAAGGATGCTTCTGGAACTAGTCTTCTCTTGTAGAATCATAGACTGGTTTATATTGGAAAGAACCTTAAAGCCCACCCAATTCCAACTCTCCCTGCCATGGGCAGGGTTGGCACCAAGCAGATCAGGCTGCCCAGGTCCCCATCCAGACTGGCCTTGAACACTTCCAGGGATGGGGCATTTACATTTTCTCTGGGCAGTTCCACCTCACTCTGAGTAAAGAATTTCCTCCTAACATCTAACTCAAATCTTCCCTCTTCAGTTTAAAGCCATTCCCCTCTGTCCTTTGCCCATGTTCTATCGCTGCCAGACTGTAAAAAGGCTATCCCCTGCCTGTTTGTAAGCTTCTTTCAAGAACTGGAAGGCCCTGTTGAGGACTCTTGCACAACTATTTTGAAAACATGTGGGTTTCCAAATGTAATAGTTGTAAGAGGTGATGATAACTTACATTTTCACATTGAATCCTGTGCTGGTTGCAGTGAGTGAGCATTTCCAGAGATCTGAGTCAGAGTGAGGGAATTTTTGAGTTTGTCCCCTAACCTGAAACCTGAGAGTATGACCCTACAGAAAGGCTAAGTAAACTTCAGTCCCCACTGTTGTCTCTTTGGAACCAGAAAGTTGCTGAAAATCTCTAACAGCTGGCAGTCACTTTAAAAATAAAACCTAAGGGTCATGATATCTTTTATCTAAACAGCTCCACAAACACTTTTTTTTTTTTCTTTCCCGCCTCTACCCCCTCCCCCCTCCTCCCCAACCTAGTAATTGTTTTGGCAGTTGTGTTTCTGAAATGTAAACTAAGAAAATGTATGCCTTCCAACCACTATGTTAGGAGCACTTCTCTTTACATTTGTTTACTGTCCTCATGGAAATTATTCTGATGTCAGAAAACTTTGTATGCTCATTTAAAGCACGTGCTGCCTCCTCTCAGCTCCTTCTCTGATCTGCAATTCAATGCTTTTCAATAATGTAAACTCTATTGAGTTTTGTATATTTGTCTTTTAAAGCACTTCTGTGAAACCTTTGTCATCGAGCTCAACATGGACAGTTGAGAGATGCTACCTTGCCACA